AGTCTCTGTAGCCTTAAATACTTTGGATTTAATATGGCTTACGAAAAAGTGTACTTGGTAGAGGTTAATCATTTCTCTCAAGTTGTCAGTGTGTGGTCTTCATGGCAAAAGAAGAAGAGATTTCCTGAAATGAACCTTTTGAGCAAAAAAAAAAAAAACCTAAGAAAAGGAAGATAACTTTCAGCAACCATCTTTGAACACCCTCATCACAGACACACTCGCACATGGCACTGTGTGAGTGTCATGTTAACTTTAGGATTCAAAAGTGACATCCCACTCACTGCCAGAAAAACGTAGGTCTGGAGCGGTGCTCAGCAGATGTTTCAGATGCTGCAGGGAGCAGGCGGGGGCTTTGGAGGAGGCTTCCTCCCTCCTTGGAGCTGATGGATGCATGCAGGAGGCAACAAGGGTGATGGCCTCAACAACCCAATTTCTAACCAAATTATCAACATGACAGGAGGGTGTAGAGGTAGTGTAGATGTGAGACATAGGTCAGGCAGTGTAGACATGCTACATTGGTGTGGAGGCAGTGTAGACATGTTACATAGGTCGAACAGTGTAGATGTATTACAGAGGTCAGGCAGTGTAGACATGTTACACTGGTGTGGAGGCAGTGTAGACATGTTACATAGGTCAGGCAGTGTAGCTGTATTACAGAGGTCAGGCAGTATAGATGTATTACACAGGTCAGGTAGTGTAGACATGTTACATTGGTGTGGAGGCAGTATAGACATTTTACATAGGTCAGGCAGTGTAGCTGTATTACAGAGGTCAGGCAGTATAGATGTATTACACAGGTCAGGTAGTGTAGACATGTTACATTGGTGTGGAGGCAGTATAGACATTTTACATAGGTCAGGCAGTGCAAGCCTTTTGAGCAAAGACCTGAAGGAAGTGAAGGAGGTAGCCATGGGGATATTCAGGGGAGGGCATTCCAGGCAATGGGAACTGGGTGTGCAAAGGCCCTGGGGTAGAAGGTGGGGCCGGGTGTTTGAGGAACAAGGAAACTGATGTGGCTGGGCACGGAGAATGGGAGCAGACGACTAATGGGGTTGGAATGAGGAGCTGGGACCCCAGACAAGGGGATAGTTAGGAGAAGGTCACCTCACACTCAGCTGGTGTGAAGTGGACCCCAGCTCTCTGGTGACAGCACAGCATCATTCTTAGACTTCTGTCTGCTCACCTTGCGCAATAAACAACTCCATTCACAACTTCAAGTTCCTTCCTATCATAACAAAGGGATATAGCAGGTTCACTCTGAGATGTCACAAATGTGGCAAAGCCCCTCTTCAGGCTCTCCTGGACACCAGGAAATCCATATGGCAGGACTCCACACTGACAGAGAGACCCCAGGCTTCTGTCCTGGGCATTCAGTCCTCTCCTGTCTCCTCGCAGACAAGAGAACTGGGACTGTCCCCAGAAGCAGCCCTGCCTGCCCCAGGGCAGTGGGGTTTCTCTTAAGAACAAACCCTGAAATGGTGAATTTTATCAGATACGAGGATGTAAATGGTGGGCAGGGCATTGGGACATCCCTGCCTCATTCCTGTGCCTTGCCTCAGCCCTGAAGAGACCAAAGAGGAAACATGGATTTGGGGCCATTTGACAGTCCGTGTCCAGCCCAGGGGCGACCTCAGGGCTTCAGGGGTTTGGATGCTAGAGCTAAGAGCAATGTGGCTTCCAGTGGGTCATAAAAGGGGCTGAGAAAGGTGACCTCTGCCCTGTCATCATCATCAGCAGGAGATTCACCAGGCCTTGTGGGTGCCCTTAAGCTCCCTAAAACCTGCACTTTGGCTTTTTACCAAGAAAAGCCAAGTCAGGCTAACAAAAATGAAGACTTTTAAGGAATTGACTGACCAACCACAAGTGCATTTGGCAAAATGGCATCAACTTGAAACCCGAAGTGAAATAAATTGAAGTATTTACAAGCCAAGGCAAATGTTCAAAGGGAGACTCAGACACAAAGAACAGATGGCAGATGAGAAAGCCAGAGTTCATTGTGCCAACGCCCACAAAATGCAGATTTCTTAAGTGCCTTGAAGGCTGTTTACAGTCTGAGCACCCAGGAAGGGACCCCTCAGCTGCAGGGACAGGACACTTCTGGAACGCTACCGCTGCATAGTAGAAGCTTTGATTTCAAGTCCTCTTCCCAGGAAACTGTATTTTTTTCATGAAAACATCACCTCTATATAAAAGCAAGTCAGACTCCTTTCATCTTTTTTTTTTTTTTAATAAGGTGAAAAAGAGAGAAACTATATACACTCATAGCTGATGATCTGCCTGCTGAAATCACAAGAAAAAGGCAAAAAAGAGCCATCCTGGGCACACTCCCCTCTCTCATGCCAGGGGGTTACTCAAACCTGTAGGGATCCGGTGACCACACAAATTTCCATAGAAGTTCAATTATAGGAGCTCCAGAGATAATAGTGCATTTTTTACCTCACAGGAACATCTTTGCAAAGATAATTCTAAGACATTTCTCGCACATTAGTGAAGAGTGTTTAGGGTGAGTTTTAACTATAGATTGAAGGACGCTTATAGTAAAATAAAGGGAAACTAGAAACACTGAATTGCTAGTAGTCAACTAGGGATAAAATAAGTAGAAAGAATGTGTTTTCATTGAAATGTTCTCATTAGCCCTTATTTCTGATCCCTTTAGGTACTTTCTCAGAGTGGACTGTTTTTGTTGAAAAGAAAAACAGCAAAATCAAACTGTACATACATTATCACAATTAAAAATGACTCTACCTCTCCTTCTAAAACCCAAACCAAGTTTCAGTACCATAAGTGCTAAAAAATTACCCAAACGTTAGTCACTTGAGAAGTTGGTTCATCTCTTTATCTCTCATAAATCTGTTTTGGTGCCTACTCGAATGAATATTTTTTTAATGGATGAATGCATGATATTTGATTAAGTTGAGAAGTAAGCACTTGGTTTTTAGAGAAACACACCCTTGCATATAGGACAATGGCCCCTCCTAATAGGACAGACAGCAATAATATACAACCTTTTTCATTTTCGTGGAAATGAAACCTATACAATCTCATTGCTACACACAAATGTAGGGATTCTACAATTAATTCTGTAATAATAGCCATATTATTTATTGCTTCTCAGAATGTATTTTTCACCATACTCCATCCTGGTTTAATTACCAAATTGATAAATAACCTTAAGATTTCAAAGCCACAGTGAAGATTCTATATCACTTACCCTGGAAGGTGGCTGCTGAGATTCTTCCTGTGTTTGAGGCAGACAGGGTATTGGTTTGGAGAAGATGCCCGGGTCTGTAAGAAGCAACATCAAACACTCAATTCTGATGATAGAGAAGTTTCCAGATTCTGGGTGGGACATGCCTCGTTGCACTTCACAAAGTAAAACAGTCTATTTGGAGGTATTATTATGTATTTTAATACTCCTGGAATTATAAATGTATTCTTACATACATATTTGGTCATTGATATAACTTTTCCTCATTCAAATAAATACTGTCTTTATATCTGTCTAGATTTCTCAGCATGTAACTAATGCCTACAATAATAGATTCCCAAGATGTACTGTTGTTTTGTACCCTTCTTAGAGGAAAATTATCTTCAGTTCTTGAAAATTTCCTTATACGCAGGTATTAGTGATTGACAGTATTTATAAAACATGGCACAAAGTATGCAACAGCCATATTATTTATTGCTTCTCGGAATATCTAGATATGCTTTCAGAACAGCTTTCTGGTCAAAATAAGGATGGACAGGCTATCAAGCAAAATAACATAATTAATTAGAGATTTGAACTAATACCTTCTGCAATTTCAGATTTGTTTAAAACTGTGAAAGTCAAAGTAACCTGTATTTAATGTAATTGTAATTGTTTTGCATTTCCATTTTTGAAATTCAAAAGTTTACGATTCTCTGCATATCAGTAACCAATATTGTTTCCACCTACTTTTAAGGAAAATGAAGATTTTAACATTAAGTATTAAAAATGAGTGTGCGATGTCACTGCGTTGATTGACAAAAACTTCACTGCTAAACCATAAAGTCTTTAGAATCCTGAAAGGTAAGTAAAAATGAAAATTTAAAAGAAGTAAACAATAAAAAGAAATACAGAATGGCCAGATAATGGTTTTCCAAAATAACCTTCCTAACATTTTTAACAAGAGCTGCTGTTTATTATCACTCTTACCCTAGACCAGTATTATCATTACTTGCTTTTCTTCCATCCTTCCTGGAAACATTAGCAGACATCTCTTCTATCGTGTACAAGTTAAAGGCAACTCCCTCCGAACGTAGGGACCCTGTTACCGAACTAAGCGGCACGGATTAGCTTCTAGAACGAGAGCCCGGTGTTGGCCATCCGTCAAACTGCGTAAAAGGGCAAATTCATGCTCTTGGTGTCTAATCTGATGCTACTCCTAAAACAAAGGCAATTAAACGAAAGAATTCCGCACTGGAGACTCATCAAATAGCTAAAAATATTTTACTTCTGTATTATTTTAATGATATTTTAAACTTAATGCTAGCATTTTTGTAAACCAAACAAAAAAGGGGGGGAAATTCACCTCGGTAGGAATGCACAGCCTACAAGACTCCAGAGGAAACGCCAGTCACTGCTGTGCGACGAACCCTGCTAGCTCAGCAGCGGTGGAGAAATCCACCACGAGTAACTCCTGTTACCAAACGGGCCCAGCACGGGCACCGCATACTGTAGCCTTTCAACAGCGCTGGCCTGACACTCTTGGTCCCGTGTTCCACTGAGGCTGGCCCCTCACCTGCTGTGCCCGCCGCCATGTCTACACTGCCCGCCGCCATGTCTACACTGCCCGCCGCCATGTCTACACTGCATTCTGTGGCCCGTGGCGGTCAGTCCCAGTGGCTTCTCACGTCGTGGCTCTCCTTCAGGCACAGGCCTCAACTGAGCACCAGGACAGTGTCTTCTCTCCTGTCCCACCTCCCACCTCAAGACAACTGGTGGCCGTGTGGCGGTGTTTCATGCTCTGTCTTTCAGGGCTTGTTTATAGCATGCAACCGAGAATTGAATAAAACTGTGACAGGTCACGTAAGTGTGTGCACGTGTGCTGTCTCCTTCACCTGCCCGGACCACTCTTGGCCTTGAGGGCCACAGCAACTTGCAGACAAACTCTCCTTTCTGCAAAGAACTCACATTCAGGTGAAGGGGGACTGACGGACAGACAGACAGGCAAATGAACAAACCAGCCCTGTAGGCTGCATCAGGCAAGGATGCCGGCCTTCGTGACACACGAGCTGCTTGCGGGATGTGGTGGGGACCGATAGAGGCTTGCCTGCGTTTCATGGTAGCTGGTTTCCGAAGCCGGCCCAGCAGCACTGCTCTTTGTACGGTGCCACCACGTGGCTCCTCCCGTCAGGAGATGGCAAGTGTTCCTTGACATTGAATCCTTGAACCTGGGCAGCCCTGTGACTTGCTGTGATAAATTGAAAATGGCAGAAGTGACATCCAAGCCAAGGTCCAAAGAGGACAATATCTTCTATTGCTTCTTTCTTAGAAGAATAGCCACCTGCCCAAGGGAAACGTGAAGAGAGACAGGAAGATGCAGAGAGGGACAGAGGGAGAGGGAGAGAGACAGGGACACAGAGAGACAGAGAGAGACAGACCGAGAGTGGGATAGAAAATGACAGAGAGACACAGAGACAGGGGGAGAGAGACAGGTAGGGGAGAGAGACAGAGAGAAAGAGAGGGAGGGAGGGAGAGAGAGAGAGAGAGAGAGAGAGAGAGAGAGAGAGAGAGAGA